GCACGAACATAGTTAACTCCTTCAGAGGAAACGGCGTAAATACAAAGACTACAGCGCACGTACATCAGTCGGGCAGGTCTCCTCGAGAGTAATAATATACAGTTCGCGGTCGCCTTGTAACGACTGGCTTTACCTTGACGGCCAGAAAATGTCGCAAACTGCAAGTACACGTTTGGAGAAGAGTACTCTTCTTCCCCGATCCCCGAACCTATTTCCGCATTGCCTATAAAATACCCACCTGGTAGGCGTATATTCACTTCATCTCGTCAGCTTTCGGCACCACTTTTTCTGCAAATGGACACAGTATAGGCGTTTGCGTGCCAAAATATCCCCGAAGTTCCACATATACTTAATGTCTGAGTGGGAGTTGTAGTTCTTACTGAAAAACCACCCACCAATCAAATATATAGATAGGTCTGAATGAGACAGGCCGTCCCCTATATGCCATTTACAATGATGCGTAGAGCTGTTAGAGAGAAACGGGTGAGACGGTTTGGACCGTACGTCTAGTGACTTCCTGCTCTATGCCTTATATCCATGCTGGGCCCTCAGCGGGAGAGAAAGGGTGAATTGCTTCAAAAGCTAGCGTAATACGTTTCGATCGGATCACGAAGTGGATCTTGACGCTCGCCATCTGATTTACATTGATGGCGATGATCCAATTCGCCAGCATGACCCACCACCAGAAAACCACAACGCGTCGCGACCATCGACACCGCCCGGATCCGTAAATATGGTGTCTGTGACAAATAGCAACATACCGCTCTAAAATACGAACTATAGATAGTTGACTAGAGGCTATGGTCTTCAGTAGGATCTGTTTTGACAAGCGTGTTATATAAAAGAATTAGTAATTGTCAGATTTAAAATGGGTATGTACAACTCACGAGCAAATGTTTTTTTCTTTTGAAAAGCGGGTCCTTAATCAGACTGATAGGTAGCTACAATATCCTCACGGTTTAACAAAAAGATGCAATGGCTTTAAAAGCAACTTGAACTGAACGGTAAATCTAGTATTAGATCATGGATAAAGTGGAAGGTAGATAAAAGAGAATGCGAAAAAAAGGCAAATGCAATCACACTAGTTAAAATTCCGGATCGAAGAAAAGATCATGATCACAGCCTTATAATTGCGACCGGCGCAGACCCAAAAAAACACGCCAAAGGCCAGACCGAGCAATCAGCGAAGAGTTCTGATGCGTAAATTGGAGGAATTGACTTCGAATCAAGGCAAACAACCAGCATTCAACGGCGAGACTAGTTACGAGAAGGACAGACAGACAGGGTAGAATGCGCAAGATACAAGACGCCAGCATATAGACTCTGTAGGCTCCCGGATAATCTTTTTTCACCGGCTCCTCGCGTCCACAGTACTGGCAGGCGTAGGTGAGGCCCATCGCAGGGAAGACAAGCGCCAGCAGAGCAGTGAGAAGGAGGAAGAAAATGAAGAATCTAATGTTCCTACCAGCTACACAGTTGTAAATGAAAAGGCAGTGGTGGTCATGACCGACGTAACAGCGCTTGCACAGTTTGCAATGCTTCACGTAAACGTCTACCAATGGGAGGAGAACATCACAAGACGGACAGTATGCCTCTGAGTAGTTGGGCAGCTCAGGCAATTTGTTGGGCAGCGTGGGTTTGACCATGAGGTCCTTTACGGCCGATAGAAACGGGACAGTAGAGGACTCAAAAAAGTGGGCGAAATCCGTGCGGAAGACGTGTTGGGGTACCAGACGGCCTGCGTCACCCAAACACAGGGACCCAAAAATTGCGAACCAGAGTGGATAACCGAGACAGCTGGGCAGGAAACGGACCCAACCCAGCGTACCTCCTAAGCTCGGCTGGAAGTGAAGGAGGTCATAGAGGCTGCCGCAGACGACTGTGGAGAAGAAGAGGCCACAGAACAGGGGGGTCTGTTGCTCAGTGCCGTCACAGGTGCGATGACTCTGTCGGGACAGGAGAA